GGACAGCAGGGAGCTCTCCAAGTGTGCAGTTGCATCCTGGGAGAGCAAGCACAAATGCCCCCTGGGAATGGTGCATGGGTCGGGGAAGGAAGAACGCACAGGTTTGAAATGCATGACTCATTCTCCACCAGAGCAATTCTGGAGCAGACGGGAGCACACGGGGGCGCTGAGTGCCGGAGGTGGGTCCAAGGAGACACTGGCCGGGATGTAATGCCACCCAGAGGAGCGCACAAGCTTGCACAGTGAGCACCGACTATCGTGCTGCATGGAGACAGCGGGCTTGTGCTCAGGCCTATGCACTGTGCGGGGTGTAAGCTCCACTCGCTCCTCATGTGCTTATAAGCCAGCATGAGCAAGTTTCCTGCCTAAACGCCCAACTCCCTCACATGTACAATTGGAGTCGATACGGTATTGGCTTCATAGGCTCATTCTGTGAGACGAGTCATGTTGAACACTCAGTCTAGTGTCTCCCTACACAGTAAACGACTTATGCATAGGGTGCATCACAACTACAGAGCAGTGAGGATTAGGAGGACTGGTCAGCGTCAACAGGCAGGGTAGGTCACCTGGACACTACCTAATCCTGTGCTACTGACATCCAGTGTGGCACCAAAGGCCCTTACTGTTGGAAACACCAAGGCTCGCACAGTGAGGGCCACTCAGCCAAGAAACTGCAAAGCCTAGACTGAAAGACCCTCCGAGATGTGCAGCCCTCTCTCTACTGAGGCACTTTTCAGTCCCTGACAGCTGCTCTTTTGGTGTCACCAGCACAACATTCGGATCTCTGTGGATGTTCCTGCATTCTTTCATTCACAGGGCTTTCCTGACCAGCTCTGTGCATGCATCCTTGTGTTAGGTTCTGTGATTCAAGCCAGATGTGGTCCCATATTGATGAAGCTCACAGGGTAGGAGGGGCGCGTCACTCAAACAAAGTGACTGAGGCAAAAGCAAGATGAGAACTCTAAGGGAAAGCTTCTAGGGACAAGGAGTCTGCCCTACAGGTCACTGCTGTGCCCTTCCCACTAAGAACAGTGCCCAGCTTGTGAAGGCGCTGAACGGTGTCCACTGGGTGGAGGCAGGCTTGAGAAAGCAATGTGTGGCTGGGGTGTGCCAGGGGACCTGATGTACTCAGAGCAGCCAGGGAAGGCTTTCTTCAGGAATGGCTGCTGAAAAGCAGGTAAGCTCCAACAGGGTAGTGAGGCAGGGAGAAGCCTAGGCAGTGGGGAGCACTGCACTTCAAGGTCAAAGGCCTCGCTGGAGAATGAATGAGTATGGGTAAGATGAAGTCCTCCTGGCAGTGCTGGCTGGTACCGATAAGCCCACAGTGCCCAGCATGAATGAGCAGCTTCAGTCTGTCATGTCACACTCGGGGGCATCAGCCCCCCCCCCCAAGGGCTCACAAGGACACTTTCATTTCAGCAGGCCAGGAAAACAACATCCCAAGTTCTGCTCAAGAAACTGAGGCCTTCAGTATGAAGCTATCAAGGCCATCCTTTAACCTCTTATAGAAATGTTCATTTGACTTTTGAGGCAGTCGTTAAACCCACCATAATGTCATGTAGGAGGGCAGCAAGGCTCGGCAAGGATGTCACTCATGTGGCTGAATTGGGATGTGACTCGGTCTCTGCTGTGAGTTGCACCATGTCCCTCAAAATTCTTAGATCGAACCTCCAGGCTTCCTTGTGAATGTACTCGAGTTGGACCCACAAGGGGTACTTAGGGCCTAATGAGATCATCAAGGAAGATCCCTGAGCCAATGCAGTCAGTGTCCTTACGGGCAAAGACACCAGCTGACTGCCACTCGCTACTCAGAACTCAGAGGAAAGCTTTGCGAGGACCTCATAGCTGCTCAGGCGCTGGGCAGTGGACCCCCACTGGATCTCCATGCGAGGACCTCATAGCTGCTCAGGCGCTGGGCAGTGGA